TGCTTCCTACGGTGTCCTGAATGGATAACGTGGCGGTTGTGTAACAGTAACGATAAATAAAGTAATATGTCTGTCTACGCTTATGCTGCTTTTACGAAACGATACACTGTACAAATTCAAACTTCAGTGCTGCAATACGCATGCTCACAGGATATACTTACCGTGCTTATTTTTTTATTTTTATTTTGCGAATTACCTCAAGTATTTTCGCTTTTGTAACAGCGCATGGATGGCTGTTTCAGTGTTCCAAATCTCTTTCGTCATAAATTGTACCAATTTCAACCGTGTTTCTCTTTTAGGTGATTAGCCATAATGTGTACACTTAATTCTTTTTTTTTGACCTGATTAATGTCTGTGAAATGCAGATATAAGCCCTGTAATGCATGAACTGTGTGTTTCTGTTAGGTGCTGGCCACCCGATGAAGCCTCACCGGTTGTCTCTCACTCACAGTCTGGTGTTGCACTATGGACTTTACAAGAAAATGATGGTGAGCGAGCAGTAGTGACAGATACTGTCACGTGTTCACACCTGTTGATGCTTTTCACACTGAAATAACATTTGATAAATCTTGTGTTTGTTTGTTTGGTTTTTATTAGAAACAACAAGTTCATGCTGCACTCTATCAAATGTTCTTATTCCCACCAGGTGTTTAAGCCCTACAAAGCGTCTCAGCATGACATGTGTCGCTTCCACTCTGAAGACTACATTGACTTCCTACAGAAGGTCAGCCCCAATAACATGCAGGGCTTCACAAAAAGTCTCAACGCGTTTAATGTGGGAGATGACTGGTGAGTGTCTCTTTCTCGTTAAATACGTTTTTATCGAGAAAAAGAATCTGAAGGATTTAATGAAGTTTTCACAAGACCTGTGAAAAACTAAGTACACCTTTACTGCTTCCATAGGAACTAAGGACTGTAGTTTTCAAGCAGCTAACTTCCTTTTCTTACATCTAATCTGTCAGGATTGTAAATGTTTCAGTATAAAAGCCTCTCTGATCATCATGGCTGACAAACCCATAACTTAAATATTTCATGTCTGTGTGTTTTAGTCCGGTGTTTCCAGGACTGTTTGAGTTCTGCTCAAGATACACGGGAGCATCCTTACAGGGGGCTACTCAGCTCAACCACAAGGTACCACGCACACATAAACCCAGCTGATGGTTTTGGTGCTACAGAGAAAAAACAAAACAAGACTGAGGTAGCCTAGGGTGGCATCTGTTGGTTTCATTTTGAATTACAACTTAAAGTGTCGTCAGAGACACTCATTTATGTGATATCCTTGAGGAGTAGGTTGAGTCATTGATTGTTCTATGTGGCCAAGGCTCTCTAGCTGAAGTAAGAAAGAAGAAGAAAGGCCTCTCTTCGTGTTTGCTGGAGGGAACGTATCTCTCTCTCCCAGCAGCAGTAGACCTGCTGTTCAGCCTTTGGTCATGACCAAATTCATGGGCTGTATACTCACGTAGACCGTGAAGGCCGGGTCCTCAGAAGGATGCAGCACATGAATTTGGACACCCCCTTTCTGTTTGTAAAGGGCAGCTAATCAGAAAAAAGTGAACTTAAAGGGAGGATAGGAGAAGCATTGAGGAGTTTTGTGAGAATATTTTAGTTTGTGTTTAAAAACTAAAATCGTTACTCATCAAAGACATTTCTGATTTCTTGTTTTGCTTTCCATCCTTTAAAACTGTCATGGTCTTCAGCTTCGTGGTCAGTTAAAGGTGTGAGCTCTAACTGATGCTGACTCTGCTTTATTTTCCAGATTTGTGACATTGCTATAAACTGGGCTGGAGGTTTGCATCATGCCAAAAAGTTTGAGGTTAGAACAAAGCCGCATGTATTGATGTGTGTCTTCTCTGTTCAGCTCATTTGAGTTAAATGTCTCTTGGTTCTTGTGTTGGTGTAGGCCTCTGGGTTTTGCTATGTCAATGACATCGTCATCAGTATACTGGAGCTCCTCAAGTAAGACGGCGCTCCGGAGTAACTCTCCTCGAATCTTTACCGTGTCTGTTTGTGACATAAATCTCCTGCTCTGTGCTTGTTCAAGGTACCACCCCAGGGTTCTTTACATTGACATAGACATTCACCATGGCGATGGCGTCCAGGAAGCCTTTTACCTCACAGACCGAGTCATGACCGTGTCCTTTCACAAATATGGAAACTACTTTTTCCCAGGGACAGGTAAATGCAGCTTTAATTATCTAACAAATGTTTGCTGTCCACATAGTGGTGTTTATATCATTTATTATTTTACTTGCGTGCATATTCAGCCCCAAAAGTCCAATTTAAAGACATAGAAATACTGAAGTAGTCCTCTGTCAGCTGTATCAGCAGATAAATGATAAGTGTATTCCAGGCGGGTTTCTATCCATAGACTCAGGGTGTATCTGACCCTGTTGTTATGAGCCGTTTGGTCCCTATTAAGTTTGTCTTGGACTCTGTCTGGGCTGCCCTTTGTCACTGAGTCAGCTGTTTAGCAGTGCTATTTATTTTCTTTTTAAATAAGACTCTAAAGTAGTGTTTGTTTTTCTGACTGTGGAAACATTGAATGGAATTAAAAGTCCAGCAACAACAGAAGTTCGTCATCTGTTCTTCGCTCTGCTTCCTGTAGGTGACATGTACGAGGTCGGGGCAGAGAGCGGCCGGTACTACTGCCTCAATGTTCCTCTCAGAGACGGCATCGATGACCAGAGTGAGAGCAACAACACATGAGGTCACACTTTCTTATTGTTCTGTGACTATCACATGAGATTCGACCAACGTGTTTGCATGTTTTGTTTTCAGGCTACAGGCAGCTGTTCCAGCCTGTTATTAGACAGGTGGTGGATTATTACCAGCCGACCTGCATCGTCCTGCAGGTCAGTCAGTAGCTCCTATCATTTGCTTCTGTATGATTTAATCTGCGTGTGTGCGATTGCCTCACCTGGTGTGTGTCTGTCTGCAGTGTGGAGCGGACTCGCTGGGCTGTGACAGGCTGGGCTGCTTCAACCTCAGTATCCGAGGACACGGGTGAGACAAAGTTTTTTCCAGCTGAACTCAAATATTTTTAAACAGCCAGCACATGAGTACTGATAGTTGCAACATAATCTGTGTGTGTGTGGTTTTCAGTGAGTGTGTGGAGTTTGTGAAGAGCTTTAAGATCCCTCTGCTGGTTCTGGGAGGAGGAGGATACACAGTGAGGAACGTGGCTCGCTGTTGGTCAGTCTGATGTGCACTTTCCATGAATGCAGCTTTAAGATGATGATGATGATGATGATGATGATAATAATCTGTGCTGTGTTGTAGGACCTATGAGACGTCTCTGTTGTTGGATGAATCCATCAGTGATGAGCTGCCTTACAGCGGTGAGCTATGTTTCATGTTTCAGTGAGATTTTAATATCTTTGTTGGATTGTTTTTGTGCGTTCTTGTTGTCCAGGATGTCACAATGAGCCTGAAAAATGATTTATGCATAAACAACAAATTAAAAGCCAGTTAGTAGTTACTCTTAGAGTCGCTACACGTGACATTACAGAGGACTGTGGGTGAAACAAGAAGGAAAGTGAACAGAAATACTTGGAACATCCTGTTTGTCTGATTTGGTTCATCTGCAGAGTATTTTGAGTACTTTGCTCCAGACTTCACGTTGCACCCTGATGTCAGCACCAGGATAGAAAACCAGAACTCCCGACAGGTAAAAGCGTCATTCCTCTTTTCATTGGTGTAAAGTGCACAGTAGAGATCCTGACATGCAGTCGGCCGACCCTCTCACTGTGTTCATGTGTTTGCAGTATTTGGAACAAATCCGTCAGACGGTGTTTGAGAACTTGAAAATGCTGAACCACGCGCCCAGCGTTCAGATCCACGACGTCCCGTCCGACATGCTGAGCTACGAGCGCAACGACGAGCCCGACCCCGATGAGAGGGGAGCTGAGGAGAACTACACCAGGTCAGCACGAGTCAGCAACACGCGTGTATTTATAAAAGATTGGTGTGCACGATCCTCACTGTTCATGACGTGACTCCCACAGGCCGGAGGCAGCAAACGAGTTCTACGATGGTGACCACGACAACGACAAAGAGAGCGACGTAGAAATTTGACGGTATTTTCAAATTCCCTGTGGTGCAACAAAGAAAGCATTTCTTGAAGGACTCGAAAGACTGAGAACAGACTCCTGTGCGTTCTGGTCTTTGTATACACACAGAAACGTGACTTATATCAGACGTGCTCTTTTTCTCGTTTGTGCTCCAGATGTTTTGTTTCATTTTTTTTCTGCTCATGATCTTCATGTTATCTTAATGAAATGTTTGGCTTCTGAAAGACTTCTGCTGCACACAGCCTACGATTTAGATTCACCAGTCAGTCCACAGGAGTTGTGAGCAGCTGGTTGGAGGGCAGAGCGCATTAGGCGAAAAAACTGCAACACCAAGTTAGCACCAGGTGGGAAGGAAAAGGCATAACAAGAAACAAACGTGGGAGTGCCTGCTCGGTGGCATTAGTCACACACAGGCCTGCTCAGATGGTTGCTGAAGTTTTCAAAGACACAATCTCAAATATACTCATTATTCATGTGCCTTACAGCTCTGAGAAGTCCAGCACTAGCACAGAGCAGGGCACTATTTCAACTCTCACTGATCTGGCAGCCTCTGTATGCAAGGCCACCGAGCAGAAGCTGATCCAAGAACTGCCCGTGCTCCAGTTTCTTCTGGTACCCGTTGCTGTTCTGCACAAAACTGAGGATGACTGCTGATGAAGCCTGTAAATTATCTGATCATGCTTTTGCAGATGAACAGTTCTGTCTGTGGTCTTGGCAGCCACAGTAGAAACACTTTGCCCTCTTTTAGTCATAAACAGCTTTTTTGTCAATTTTGATATCGTCTTCAACTTGTTTTTAATAAACTGACTCACCCGTGTGTGTGTGTGTGTGTGTGTGTCACACATTATCTGTACGTTTTCTCTGCTGCCACCTGAGGGCGACATCGTGACATTGAACTGAAGCTGATCAAAAAAAGAAAAATGCAGGAGGTCAAGGTCGTGTAGACTTTATTCCTCATTCATCCAGTGATATTTAGAAGTTCTTGTCACAACAAACAGTACAGGAGAGTACACACTGCAGTTTAAAATCTCTGAATTATGACTTAGTTCTGTGTTTTATAAAAGTTTAACCCCATTTGAGCCGCATGTCTTAGTGACCAACTTAAGATCAACTAGCTAAACCAGTGGATTAGACCAGTACAGGACACTGGTGTAAAGTTAGTCCCACTACTTATTGTAACACCTGGGACTACATTAAGGCAGAAAATGTAGTTTATCCAGACCTCAGCAAACAACCGTCACTGCGAGGCCGTGGCCACACAGGGGTCAACACCACATTTTCATGGCCACAGAACACACGTTTCCATCTTGGTTTTTGTGACGTGAGCTCCAGGCTGGTAATAGCAAGCAGTTTCAATGTAAGCACGCAAATTAAGCATATCTGATGAATCCATTTGGATAAAGTCACCAAAAGACAGACTGAGGCTGACATGCTGATACCCGCCTGTACGCTTAACAGGAAAAAACATTTTCTGTCTGGAGTTCAAACGTATCTGCACTGCAGATGTGACCAAGTGTAAACGTTTAAAGTTCAGAGCACGTTTTGGGTTCAGGTATCAGGATGGCAGCCTGTGTTTAGCAGCAAAAGGCTGCACACATGAAAAGTCTCAACACTGATAAAAAGCTTCAGTCACATAAACTGTATCAGAACATTTCAACCCGATTAAATTCATACAACAGCAGAGAATCTGATCATTTAAAAAGCGTTACAGACACACCACAGGCAGCATTAATGCAAGGACACACAAAATGATCCTTAGCAGTAATTCATGAGTACAGAACTCTTTCTCCTCACTGGCAACCTGTCCACGGCGTCCCCACCTCTCACCCTGTGACAGCACAGAAAAGATGGACGTAACTTTAAGCAGGTCTAAAAAGTGGAGCCGACGCTTTGCTTTGAAGCTGCATTGTTGTTAAATGGACAACAGGGGGCAACGTTGGTTGCAAAAAGACTTGATTGTATAGAAGCTATGGGGGAAAATAGCCCTAGGCTTTCTTCTTGTGTGACCTCTGTAAACACTTTCCTGATGACTCCGTGACTAGTTTCGGGTTACACTGAATAATGGAATTACGGTTATTATTAGAGCCAGAAAGGAGGAATGTCCAGGGTATTCTCATTGGCTAACGACGCGTCAATCACAAGCATGCGGTGTTCTCAGTTTCACAGTCCGAGTAGCCCCTCCCCTATCACATCCCGTTTCAAAACACCAAAGACTGAAACGGCTCGAGGCTTCAGAGGGGACTTCACTAATCAGTGACGTCACATTGGCTACGTCCATCTTTTTTTTTTTTTTTTACTGTCTGTTCCCGTGACAGGTGGGATAGGTTGGGATAGACATGGGAAAAAAATTAAAATGTGCAAATGTTAAAGAACCTTTTAAATATTCAGTACATGTAGTAACATATGGCCGGTGTCCTGTCATCATTGCTTGAAATGTGCGTTTTGAAAATGGTTTCTGGACTGGAGGAGATTATGTTGCAGTAATGTGGCTGCCCACTGGGACCAAACCTGACAGCAGCGCAGCCTGTGCCACAACATACCCAGCTCTATTAATACATCCATGACCGAGGAGCCGCATTCTGCTGAGAGCAGCCAGGACGGGCACATGAAGAGACGGAGAGGAAAAAGCAGAGCAGACAGACAGATGGGCAGAAACAGTGTGACAAACAGCAGCACATGGACGAGAACAAGTCCTAAACTCTCCCACAGTAAAAAGTCTCCAATGCTGCATCATAATCATTTTACCCAAGTGTTGTAAAGATGGCAGATGTGCTTTGCTATTGCATGAAGCTTAGTGAATGTGTTACTACTGTGAGTTGTGCGCGCTGCGATGATTATTAGTCTGCACTCATGTTTTGGCCCTGACGCGACAGTCAGAGGCTCCTCTCTTTACAGTTCTGACATGGTGGTTAGTGGAGGGTGGGAGCATGTGGGTCTACAGCTCTTCGCTCTCATACAACGGCGCCGTGTGCTGGGCGGGGCTCTCCACCGTCAGAGCAGGGACGTGGCTCAGAGAGGACAGCAGCTTCAGAGTCTTGGAGCCAGCAGGAGCAGTCTTCATGGCCGGAGTTGTGCGGGCTGGTAGGGGCGGAGAGACGATGGGTTAATATATTGTTTTGGGTTTTCAGATTATTTATTTAAACTTTGATTATAAATCAAAGTTTTTAAAGAAAGCAGAGCAACACCTTTCCTGTCCCTGAGAGCAGCATCAAATCTTACTAACACTCAGGGAAAAAAATTCCTCTCATGCCAGGTGTCTGAAAATAACTCTTCTACCCTGCATGCCACAGCACAGCATAGCTCAGAGCCAGATATGTGACCAGCACATATATGCAGGAACAGTGGATGCACAGTGTTCACCTCCACAAGCCTGAATGAGACAAACCCACAACACCAACTCATCATATCCACATACAATAATGTCACCATTAAAATTTGATAATTAAAAACAAAAAAACAAAACAAAACATCTTTAGTAAACATAGAAATTCACCACTTAATGTAATTTACCTTTTTATATTTTCAAAGCAAACGTTCTACTCTTCAATGACGAGGCTGCAGACTCTTGTCTGGTACAGAATTAGTTCAGCTAAACTTCACTGATATATGTTGTTAATAACCTTCTAGGACCTGCCGTCCACATATGTGGACGTCAGATTTTGGGTTGTCTAGACCAAAATACTAAATTTTGCTCGACGAGGGCCTGATATCCACTTACGAGGACGTTTTACTGCCACTGTTCCATTGAAATTTAAAGCAAATGTCAGCAAAAATCAGGTAAAAACAAAACAAAGTAATTATTTGTGTCCCACCAGGAGGAGGCCCCGGGGCGGACCCAGGACACGCTGGAGACATATCTCTCAGCTGGCCTGGGAACACCTTTGTGTCCCCCCGGATAATCTAGAGGAGGTGGCTGGGGAGAGGGAGGTCTGGGCTTCTCTGCTTAGGCTGCTGCCCCCGCGACCCGGCCCCGGCTAAAGCGGAAGAAGATGGATGCTTGGATGGAAGTCCCAATAAGCCCAAATAGCAAAGAGAAATTAAAAATGCATGCCACGAAAGAGTTCGGGTCTTAGGAGGTTAAGCTAAAGTGCATTTAGCATTCCTTTCAGTTCACCATCAGCCTTCCCTGCTGCTGAGCCCTAACTGAATACTGTTTTAGTAAAGTTCTTGTAATAATGCTTGTATGAAGACACAACTATGGTATCTATTACTATTCCCTCCTTTTTAAAAATATTTTCAACACTCAAAGGCTATGATGTAAAAAAAACAAAACAAAAACAAACAGGAACAATTTAAAAATGATTAAGCATAAAGGCCTAAAGTTAAGATCAGATATCCTCTACTCTTCTGGTCTAAGCCTGAAATGTTATCAACTGACTAAGGTGTCAGATTAAAAACGTTTGGACTAAACTCTGCACCATCAAATGTTTTTCATTTTAATTAAGATGAATAATGGAAAGAGTTAGGAGACGTATCCAGACGCTGTGCTTTTCAACTGCATTTTCACACACTGAACTCTGTCATCACTGAGTAACATCCTAACCCAGTGCAATCCACACTATTCAGTCACATGACCGACTTAACACCTCGGTGGGCAAAACATTACTCTATTGTGACAATCCGATAGAACGTTAGAGCACTTTTGCGAATATGTGATGTCTTGATAAATCGAGCAGGTATTTGAAGTTTACACAGCACCATTCTCGCATGAAAATATCTTAAAAGTTTATTTTGTGACCCAGAAAGAGTAATATTTCAAACTCCGCCCCTCTGTGTTCCTCCGCCACTGCCTCGTTTGAGTTTTGGACGAAATGGATTCTGGGATATTGCATTTCGTCATTTCGAGCTGATTGGAGACCAAAACAGCCAATCACATTTTTTTTTGCATCCAAGTCTGTGATTGGCGGGTTTTGTGGAACAAATATAACGGTGTACAGAAAGAGTTGAGCGCGCACGGGCAGAAATGTTGAGAGCACGAGCAACACATTGCGAGCGAGCGCAAATGCAAAAACTGAGCGAGAGGGGCTGCTGTTGTGTGTGTGGATAATAGCAAACACTGAAATACAGCAATTAATTTTGTTCACTCAAATTCAGCTTTTCTTTGATCAAAATAAATTTCCCCTCAAAATGCAACACTTGCACAATGTTTTTTTTAACGTGTGCTCAGAATAGTGGCACAAAAATAACGCCATAGTCTTCACTTCTAAAAACCTCCTGATGAGCTCCCGTTTCTGAGCTCTGGTTCAGACAAAGTGCTTTAAACTCACTTTCATGTTTGCTGTGTATGGAGGACCTCTCCACGGAGCAGATGGTGTTATGTGAGAAAGCAGAAACCTAATAGCCGTGTTGTATTTGCCTCACAGTTATCGCTCGGCGATTATACCGTATTCCTCGGCAGCTCGGAGCCTCGTGCGTTCATCGAGTTTCCGCTCGATCACATAACGCGCCATTTGTTTGATGAGCTTCCAGAGACAGAGCGGGATTCATGGAGACACCGGGCACACAGCGTTTTCCATCTGGTGTTTGATTTTACAGCCTGGGCTTCTATGGTAACGAGCAGCGTGTCGTATCTCATGCAGCAGATAGCTGAGGCGGCCTCTCAGAGCTTATTTGCATATAAAAATGAACAGACTTACTTCCTACATCCAGCCTGGCGTTGCATGTGGACATGCCAGCTTCGTTGATGGCAGACAGAGTGTACCAGCCAGCATCTGACTTCATCACCCTCTCTATCAACAAGCACTGGCGGCCTGACCCGTCCTGGTACAGACTGCAGTGAAACAGTGAGAGAGACTGCAAAGTTACACATACGGGCTAAAGTGTCACAATCACAGAGTCGATGCCAGGTATCATCACCTGAACAGTGGAGTCTGAACTTAAGCTGACGCACCTCATTCTGTTGGGGTCAATGCGCAGCATGTCTTTATCCTTCTTCCAGAAAAGCTGCGGTGGAGGGGAAGCATCCACTTTGCACTCTAACCTGATCGTGTCGCCCTCTAGAGCTCTGGAGTTCACCATCTTCTGGACAAAGGTAGGAGGACGGAGCGCTTCCTGAGCTGCAGAGACGAACGAGGATACATGTGATTAGGTCCTCTCCCACGGTGAAAGGTGGTATCGTTAAATCAGTCGCCATGACGAAGTGCACAGTATGCTAATATTTACCGATTACATTGAGCCTCATGGTAAATCTGCTCTCCCCGGCTCGGTTCCTGGCCACACACTCGTACACACCAGCATGATGCACCGTCACAATCTCTATGATGAATGAGTGCATCCCTTTCTCACACACCAGCATCTTATGGTAGTCATCTGGACGAATGGCTTTACCGTCCAGATACCAGGAGACGTCGGGTGTTGGGAGGCCTCCCACCTGAAATTAACACATTTTTCATGATTCCTCACTAGTGAAAAACAGCTTATTGAACCTAATTTTGTTAGGCTTCTGGTAAAGTTTATATGAAGTATTCAGTCTTAAGAGAGCCACCTTGAAGTCAAGCCTACAGAAGCGCCCCTCCTCCACTGTGAGGTCAGGGGGGACCTGCAGGAAGCGAGGCGCGTAACATTTCTCCTGGATAGCCAATCCTTCGTTACCCCTCTCATCTGTGCGCGAGTGGTGCCTCCCCCTGCAGAGGACATTATTTATTTATAACCTCACTTTCAATGACTGAACTTTACAGGCCACTAGTGACCACACACAGACGCACGCAAGCAAATGCACTAACACCGACTGCTTTTCCTTTTCTGTCCACTGACATCACAAATATGCTATGAAGAACTTAAGCCTCCTTACCAGCAGACAGCTGGGGTTGGTTTGCACAACGATTAATTGCTTGGCTTTTGTTTTAAATTGAGGCTTTAATTGAGGTAAAGTGTATAATTTCACAACTTTGTTTTCATTTTTCTCTTGCTTCAGTGATCTGCTATTAGAATGGTATACATTTGCATTTCATGCAGCACAGACTCTGCAGATATAAAGTCAGTTTTAGCCAATTCAAAAAAATAAACTAAGACAAAAAAGGATGCTGAACAGGTTGAATGGTCAGCTACTGTTTGAGCCAGGAAGTCAGGACGTACTCTAAACTGTCTAAACTGAACCCCAACATCCCTCACTGTGCCTAAATGCATCACCTCTATGGAAGCATATGATATTATTAAAGGAGCAGGTCTTTGTGGAAAACTATAAGATTTAAACAGAAGTAATAGGAATTTAGCTTTGGCAACCAGGGTTTCTTTCCAGCAGGTTAATAACAACAGTGATAATGACACAGTGATCAGGGATGTTACACACCTACAGCAGCCGCAGAGAGGTGGAAATGCAGACAGTGAGCTCAGGTAAAGTGAAAGATAACTGCCAACTATAACAAGCATTAGCTACATTGCCTTCAAACCTAGGGGGGGGGCAAAAATCTTGCACCAAACCTGCTGTTGAACAAGATTAAGCCTAAATAAAGCTGCATTTTCAGCTGCTCCCAGCACCAGAGGCATGTTTACAAAGTCATTTTAAAACAAGCTCAAACACAAGCTCCTTGTACTCAAACTGCTAGCTTAGATTAAATTACTACAACCTGCCAGCCTTCTCTGTTCTAGCAGTGCTACCTGCAGCATCAGACAGATTAAAAATATCAAATCTACTTATAAATAATTGCCATTTTGTTTTTTAGCCTGCAGATGAAGTGCACAAGTGCACAGATGCTGGATAAACATTAAATGAAACCTGGATTAATCATTCTGTGCAAATGTAGAAGTTGTATTTACCATAGTCCACCCGTGTGTCTTCCTTCTGGTGAATCTGGCTGTAACAGAAAGACTGAGATAAACTGACACAATCACACTGTAGGTTTCAGCTTTGAAAACTAGCTCATACAGGTCAACAGGAATGACAGCAACTGTGTGTGTGTGTGTGTGTGTGTGTGTGTGTGTGTGCGCGCTGACACGATGGTGCTGTTGTCACGACTGAGAGGTTCATTCCCAGAAACAAGCTAGAAAAAGCTGCTGACAACCTCGTTGGCTTGAGAGGATGATGTGTGTGTGAGAGAAATTAGATGGTGCAAAGCCCTGTGAGCAACAGGCTTTTTGACAGAACAATCCCACGTGCGCGCGCACACACACACAGTGACGTGGTCAAAATGACAGTGTGAAGCCGCTCGCTGTGGCTGCTGATTATACTGCTGCACTTTCTCATCTTCAAGCTTGGGAGCCCATCAGGAGGCCCTGAGAGGGAAACTGGCTCCCTGCTCTGCTATTCAAACCCAAATGACTGTATTAATGCGAGGTCTTCACTTAACGGCTAAATGAAAGCTAATGGGTTTTGGAACAGGGCCAGCATGAACGTCAGCCCTGCAGCACACTCTGAAACGCTCTCTTGAGATTGGAAATTTTTTTCATAATAACGGAGAATTCAAAGCTGTACCTGGTCGAGTTGTGAGTCTGAAAGATTGTCTTGGTCAAACATGTAGGTAGTGTTGTCTGGACCCAACAGCCTACGAGCCATGCGCTCCTCGTAAGACAGCTTCTGTAAAAATGAAGCTTCATGTTGGTAAGTTTTAATTGATTACATCATTTTTAACCAACACACAGAATGGGTCACTGATGTTTCTGGTAAACTACTGCACTACGTTCTCTTCAAACAGACATTGTGTGTGTGTGTGTGTGTGTGGGGTGGAGGAGGGGGGCACACCTGGCTGTTTCTCCTCCTGGCTTCCTTTGAGCGAAGCTTCTTTTCCAGATCCTGAATCAAAGCGTCTTTGGAACCTTGAATGTCTTCATCTGTGGAGCGGGCGGAGGACGGTCGAGGAGCTATAGCCTTCTTCAGTATGGGTTTGGGAAGGCTGTGAAGTAGAAAGGAAGGAGGGAGAGAACTGAACCCTTCTCCTTACTTCCTGTGTCCTACTTTATTTAGAGGTTTCTTTTTTCTTATATATAAAAGAAAGCACAAATGTATGCACTGAAAGGATTATATGCATACTTACTACAACAAATATTACAATAATAAAGTACTGGTGGATGCTCATACTAAACATGACTAAAGCTAAAAGCTTAGGCTTCAGACTGCTGGGTTGTTTTTTCTTGAATCTCAACGTCGCGTAAGGGCGGATATTCTTCTTATGGTCGTCTTATGCACACAGCTCGGGCCATGAGCAGCTCCAGCCTCCTGTTAGTAAAATCTTTTATTTGTACAGGCAGCCAATAACAGGAAAGCTGGATTATAGTTTGGGGAGAGAGAGAGCTAAATAGCTTTGAGACAATGGTTGGACTGAGTGCCTATTATAAAATAAAGATTACTTTGAGTTCAACACTTAAAAACACGGAGAAATAAGTAGAATCTCCTTTAACTGATTTCACAGGACTGTACAGAGTCCTGTCAAAGCTCCATGGCTGGTTAAAAGTTATTCTAAACTCTGAAGAACCTGACATCTGCTCAAAGTGTGTACACTCAGGCAGCCATCTATTAGGTACAGCTATCCATCCATCTTCTTCCACTTGTCCAGGGCCGGGTTGCAGGGGCAGCAGCCTAAGCAGAGAAGCTCAGACCTCCCTCTCCCCGGCCACCTCCTCCAGCTTGTCCGGGGAAACAGCCAGGCGTTCCCAGGCCAGCTGAAAGATATTATTTCTCCAGCGTGTCCTGGGTCTGCCCCGGGGCCTCCTCCCGGTCGGACACCTCTCCCAGCAGGCATCCTTATCAGATGCCTGAACCACCTCAACTGGCTCCTTTCGATGTGGAGGGGCAGCGGCTCTACTCTGAGCCCCTCCTGGATGGCTGAATTTCTCACCCTATCTCTAAGGGAGAGGCCAGCCACCCTTCAGAGGAAGCCCACAGCTTCAATGCGCGATCTCGTTCTTTTGGTCACTACCCACAGGAACGTAGATCGACCGGTACAGCCTGGGATAAATTCTTCCTTCATGAAGTTTTTGTTTAAACTTTCTGACAGAAATGTTTCAATTTTATTATCAGTTTGGAGGCTGCATGGAGTTATGCTGTGTTTTGGTTTATTTTCAATGTCAAAATATCAGAAACTGAATTTGTACCGACTGTAATAATGTGCATGCCAAATTGTAAACTGAGGTATCGAGCAACTCACGTGCTTGGCGTCCCCTTATAGCTGGCAGGTAAGGAGACCACAGCAGGCTGTACACTGTTCTGGGTGATGGGAGTGAAAGGCTGCTGTGGGACACAGGAGGGTGAGGAAGAAGAAGAGAGAGGGGAGCGTGGGAGGGAAGGAGACACTGGCGGAGGTTGTTGAGGGAGAGCAGATGAAGAAGAGGAGGTTCTCAGAGGGAGGAGAGGGCTTGAGGGTGCGAGTGGGGAGCGGGAGGGGGAGGTGGAGGAGAGGGGACGGTTGGTGGTAGGAGACAGTTTGGAGGAGGACTGGGAGGGTAACACTGAGCAGAGGTAAGCAGCAGAGGCCGACATGCTGTCCTGGTTAGCAGGTAAGGTGGCGCTGCCAAGGCCAGTAGCACTGGGGATGCTAGGGGTGAGGGTGATGGTGGAGCGCATGGTGGTGCGGGGGAGAGATGAGGATGGGAGAGATGAGAAGGAGGTGGGAGAGTGACTGAGCATAGGGCCGGCGGAGGAAAGAGCAGGTACAGCAGAGGAGGCCGGGGTGGAGACAGGGGAGCTGAGGCTGGATGAAGACGGAGAACTCTTGGCTGTTCCGTTGGCCTGGATGTGGATCTGTGGCGGTGCGGCAGACTGGTATTGGTTCTGACTGAGGCTCAGTGACTGAAACTGTGACTGGGTCTCTGACAAGGACTTTGACGCGGACTGAGAAAATGACTGACTTTGTGTGGACATGGCTTTAGTTTGAATCTGCGTCTCCAGGACATTTGGACTTTTCTGGGCACTGTTGAGGTTCTGCTGGGAGTTGTTTTGGTTTTCCTGGGCTTCCTTCAGCACGCTGTCGTAGCTGGGTGCCTGGAAGGCCGGCTGAGACTGAATAAAATGCCTCGGTCGCTCATAGTTGAAGGCGCTGGGAGGGAACGTGCTGGGAGTGAACGTAGGCAGGTCGGACAGGTTCATGTTGTTGCCTCCTGACTGGGAGGACTGGAATGAAGAGGAAAACCAAATTTGCACCATGGAATAAGACTGGATCATGCAACATCTCAGTGCAATGATTAAATAAAAAATTCTGAGCTTTTTACATTTGACAACAGAAATACTCTTACTGTGAAACTGAGCTTGCTTGGGGTGAACAGCTTGGGCGCCTGGGCTTTCTCCTTGACTTCTGGCGGTGGTGAGGGTGAGGGTGGTAGGGTTGGGCTAGACGTACAAGTTTGGGCGGTAACCTCTGGGGATCTCTGGCCCTCTGAGCTCAGGGCGATCTCGTCCTCGCTCCGCCCAAAGATTTCTTCAGAGTACTGGTTGGCCAGCTGAGGTTCAGGGAAACTGCCATAAAGACAAGTGTGTTAGCTGTAGATTTAAAATATATTACAACAAGTCCCTCAAAGGTCAAGGATTTTTCTCTCAATAACCCCCAATGTGTCCACGTTCTTCGTTTACCAACTTCTGGTTCCAAAATGTGGAGTCTGGTGTTGTACACATTTTACGGGATACACAAGTTTCCCACAGCTATACAGTCATTTGAGGTGGGAGGGATGTCTTTGAAGTAGTGACTTAAATACTCATGTATGCGATCCATATGATAAAAAGTGTATTTGTATTGTTTAAAAAAAAAAAAGAAGATTACAGTATGTTTCAAAATAACTGAAACGGTACCAGTGAGGCTGTTTAATGAAAGTAACAGATATCTACTCCCATTTCAGCCCACTCGCTGGTTTTCCTCCTGTAATACCGAGCCTGGCTCGACCTCTATTTTTCTACTAGGAAAGAATGTTGTTCCCATGGCTACCACGAAGTCTGGGCTACGCAGGAGCAGTAATGACAATAGCAGTCTCCCTCTCTTTACGCGCTCTCACACACTTCCTTGCATCCACACACTTGTTCTGCACTTCTCCTGGGGGCACAAGATGACTAGCCAGCATCAGCTGACCCAGAGCCTAAAACCTTGGATCTGAATCAACGCTGTCTGATAGATGCTTATTGGGAGATTCTGAAGCATGTTAGACTTAGTGGTGTAAGCACAAAAGACAAGTGTAAAGTGTTCTGTAAGTGGAGGTGTGTGTAATCTCTGGCCTATTTTATATCTCCTTTTATATCCTCATTACAAAGAGTTTGTAATAAGGATATAAAACTGTCTTTGGAGAATGGTAAAGCTTGGAGTCTAATGAAAACAAAAAAAAAAAGAGCTGCATGGCTTTCATTTTATTTATTTATTTGAAAGAAATGGGCCCCTAGATATATGTAATCAGGACTTTTTACAGGTGAAAACTTAATGTGTCGATGATCTTTGCTAGACATGCTAAGCAGGAGAAATGTTCTTGGTACTATATCTGTGATGTGTACATATCAGCAGAGAACTCTGAATACGCACATTTCAGTCATTTAACGGTTTCAGGTTAGCATGATTGGATTGAGGATTTAAAGATCAGTGATGTTCCTTCTACCCAAGCGGTTGGTTTATAGCTTTGGACAGTACTGTGTTATCTGAGGGGGTTTCAAAATTCTGACAGCATGAGTTTTAATCTATAAGTAAGAACCAAATTAACTACAGTTTGGGAATATTTGCCATGTTTTAACAGACATGGATGCATCTGTGTGGACTTTCTGCTTCTTGAAAGTAGAGTCCGACTGATCCAGGATTTTTTAAGACAAGTACTGATATTTGGGGATTTAAAAATCTGATACAGACCAATCAGACATTTGTTATGTGTAGTTACTCTGCTCAGATCAGCTGGTTGTTTGTCTCATCACCAACTCTTACAAAGTGCCTTCTAATGAACAAACTCATAACACAGTTGAAGGTCGCTTCTCCCATTTCTTCCCATTTCCATTTATTGGCAGTTATAAATGCAAACACCAGCAGATCAGTAAATAGCGCACACTGGCTGCCTGAAAACTTCTGTCTGAAGAGTGTAACACTTTAAATTGCCAGTTTGCCAACATCTCTGCTCAGTACACTTATCGGTTTGTTTCCCTCGCTCTGTTTAACCTTTCTCAGTTTAATACACATACAGTTAAACAGAATTTTAAGTATAGACTGCTGTAAAAGCTTTAGTGTGTCTATCGTCTATGTAACATACATATGAAATCCGGTCATGTTAAAAAAAAAAAAAAATTAAAAAAAAAGCAGTGTTAGGAGCTGTCAGGCCTTAAATGTGCAACACTGTAGCTTACTGCTGCAAAAAAACAAACAACTTCTATAATAAACTTCATAATAAACATTGTGAACTACCGGTACATTCATGAGTATTCCATCGAGCTCAGAAGAACTGAAATAGTCAGAACTCTGTTGAACAAAGTCATGATCCAGTCTTTAAATTATAGAATAGAATAGAATAATCCTTTAATTGTCCCACAAGGGGAAATTTGGTTGTAACAGCAGCCAAAAAGACAGATATACAAACAAACAGTGCACAGGACGTGGAACAGAAACATACACAATTTTTACATATTTACATCAAGGACAGTGGTTACTATATACAGAGAGTATTGTACAGTTATTAAATTAAATAATATGGGGTGGACTGAATGTAGTGTGAAGCGCTTTGGGGTCCTTAGGGACTAGAAAAGCGCTATACAAATGCAGGCCATTTAAATAAAAATAGCTACAGATAAGAGGCAAAGCAGGTTGTAGTGTGAATCGGTTGATTAACTTATTGCAGTTACAGCGCAGATGTAAACATCTATGTTTGTTGGGAGCAGTTCTGATTGTACAGTCTGACAGCTGCAGGGAGGAAGGACCTGTGGAAACGCTCCTTCATGCATCTAGGATGCAGCAGTTTGTCACTGAAGGAGCTCTGCAGTTCAGCAACATTTACATGCATGGGGTGGGAGACTGTCCATCAGAGATGTTATTTTGGCCAGGGTCCTTCTGTCTCCCACCACCTGCACTGGGTCCAGAGTGCATCCCAGAACAGAGCTGGCCTTCCTGATGAGTTTATCCAACCTCTTCCTCTCAGCTGCCGATAAACCGCTGCTCCAACATACAACACTGTAAAAAATGACAGATGCCACCACAGAGTCATAGAAGGTCTTTAAAAGCGCTCCCTGGACTCCAAATGACCTCAGCCGCCTCAGCAGGGAGAGTCTGCTCTGACCCTTCCTGTAAAGAGCATCAGTGTTGTGGCTCCAGTCCAGTTTATTATTCAGGTGAACACCCAGGTACCTATAAGAGTCCACTATCTCAATGTCCACTCCCTGGATGTTCACCGGTGTCAGTGTGGTGGGTCTGCGTCTCCGGAAGTCCACCACCAACTCCTTGGTTTTCCCGGCGTTGATCAGCAGGTGGTTCTGCTGACACCAGTCAACAAAGTCCAGAGTCCACTGTCTGTACTCTGAGTCTGTACCTGTGATGAGGCCGACTATGACAGAGTCGTCAGAGAACTTCTGTAGGTGGCAGCCTGGGGAGTTGATGGAGAAGTCTGCAGTGTAGAGGGTGAAGAGGAACGGTGCCAGCACAGTCCCTGTGGGGCCCCCGTACTGCAGACCAGCGTGTCAGAGACACAGCCCTGTGACCTCACATACTGTGGACGTTCTGTGAGGTAGTCCAGTATCCACTGGGACATGTGTTGGTCCACTCCCGATAGCTCCAGCTTGTCTCTCAGAAGTCATGGCTGGATGGTGTTAAAAGCACTGGAGAAATCAAAGAACATGATCCTCACAGTGCTTCCAGGCTTCTCCAGGTGAGTCAGAGCTTGGTGCAGGAGGTAGATGATGGCGTCCTCCACCCCAATGCCAGTCTGGTAAGCAAACTGCAGCGGATCCAATGAAGACCTCACCAGGGGGCGCAGCCTGTCACTTTCCCCAGTGACAGGCTCAGGTTGAACAGATATCCTAGGATGCCACACAGTTCATCTGCGCAGCATCTCAGGAGCCTGGAGCTGACGCCATCTGGACCTGCAGCCTTCCGTACCTTGATCTTGCGAAGCTCATTCCTCACTTGAAGTGCTGAGATAGAAAGAGTGGATTTTGGGGGAGGGGTGTGTATGTTGGAGTCCACAGAAGCCGGGGGTGGGTGTAATGACTGGGAGCTGGGAGGCGTGAAGCTGAGAGGTGTGAAGTCCTGAGATGAAGGACAGGCAGTCCCTGAAGATGAAGGAGATTGCAGCAGGGGGGACGATGTTGTGGGAGGGGTGGGTGTTTGATCAAACCTATTAAAATATTTATTTAGGTCATTCACCCACCCCAAGTCTCCTGCAGCCTGGGGGGTTGGTTTTTGTCCTGAGATTGTCTTCAGGCTGTTCCAAACCCCTCTGATGTTATCCTGTTGCAGCTGCATCTTCCTCCTGTAATTTTCCTTGCCTTATCTTCCATTTCAGCTTCTTCTGAACAACTCTCAGCTCCTGTTTGTCTCCAGATCTAAAGACTCTCTTCTTCTCCTTGAGGAGAGCCTTAATTTCAGGATTTATCCATGGCGTGTTGTTAGAAAAACACCGTACCTTTTTGATGGGTACGGTGTTGTCCACACAGAAGTTCATGTAATCCGTAATGCAGTCTTTGATACTGTTGACGTCATCCTCCAGCGGGCTGCAGAGGTTGTCCCACACAGTAGAACGGAAACAGTCCCTCAGAGCCTCTTCAGTCTCTGCTGACCATTTCCTTACGGTGCGTTTCACTACTGGTTCTCTGTGTACTAGAGGTTTATACATAGACTGAAGATGGACAGGGAGATGTGATTAAAGTCCCCAGAGATCAGGAAAAGGGCCTGAGGGTGCTGTGTTTGGAGTCTGCTGGCTACAGTGTGCAGGACCTCACAGGCAGCTGCAACGTTAGCAGAGGGCGGGACATACACAGCTATCATAATCACGTGTGTAAACTCTCGCGGTAGATAGTACGGTCTCATGCTAACCGCTAGCAGCTCAATGTCCTTACAGCATAGCGTCTCTTTGATAGATAAATGCCCAGAGTTACACCATCTATCGTTCACAAACACAGCCAGACCCCCTCCTCTCTTCTTACCACTCTCCGTTGTTCTGTCGGCCCGGATCAGATGAAAACCATCCATGTTTACGTGTGAGTCCGGAGTTAGCGCAGTTAGCCACGACTCTGTGAAGCACATCAGGCTGCACTCCCTGTAGCTCCTCTGATGTCGGTAAGGGCCGCCAGTTCGTCTACTTTATTGGGGAGAGATCTCACATTCCCCATAATAATAGATGGAATCGCTGGCCGGTAACCTCCTAACTTTACTGCGACGCCCGATCCCGGCCCAGTACCGCGTCTCTTCCTCCTCACCTCACGGGGGATGTAGCTTGCTTGGCGGTAGGCAGGGCAGCGGAGGCTCCGAGGGCTAACAGCTGATCCCTGCTGTAAACAATGGGAGGTGGACC